TGGATGAAACAGGGGAGGTTGAGGGTGTATTATGATATAAGTTAAGCAGGAAACAGTACTAAATCCGATACTCAATGTTAAAAATTGTGAGACAAAGCTAATATTTGTAGATAATAAAAAAAGAACAAAAAAAAGAAAAGAAACGAATATAAATATTGTACTTTGAGATAAACTGCATTTTCTTTGAGAAAGTTGTTTGAGGGGCGTAAATAATAAACCTGCAGTAATTACCATTGTAGATAACTATGTTGGACTACTATGTTATACAGCCCTCAGTCCTTAATTTAAATATCTCTACATAAATAGATAATGTGCACTTTGGTGTTGTTTGATTAACATTTTCATGGTAGATTTGAAAGTGATTGTACATTTGTACATCTCCTAAAATTAACTTTGGTCAGGGGTTGCAAACTTGATTAAGATATGTCAGTGATTGTTAATTGTTAACTGGGAATTAGAGATACAATTGTTGTTTTGTTATTTGCTATTTAATTGCATTTATTTAAATGCTAATTTGTTTTTAATATCCAAGAAAAATGGCTAAAGTGTAAAATTCAGTAATTATTCAGTAAAATATCAATGCCATATAACTGTTACAGTTTAATCAATTATAAAGAGTATTATTAATGATAATGTATTTAGTTTATACAAAGTTATTATAGTTTGATTGTATTGGAAGCTATAAGCTTATTGAAACACTCTTGAATCTCTTCCTGGAAGCGAACAGTACTAAGTTATGAATGTAAAGTTTCTTGCTGGCTTGCTCCTGATGGGGTTTGAACCCACTCAGCTTGTGATTACTAGTCCAGTGTGTTAACCACACCTCCACTTATATATTTATGAAGACCTTGCCATTTCATGGTACATGTATCTTCTACCTCCATTTCTTTGAATTGAATCTTGTTATTTTATTGACTAATTGGATGTACACCTGTATACCTGTATTGTTTGTATATAAAAGTGAAGAAAGATGAGTGGTTTAAGTTACATGACAGAAAATTTTATAGCCCCTATAAAAAAAAAAAACTAGGTCATCGAGAATATAAATATTTTATGATTTCTGTATTACTTTTCTTTCATCTTTTCTTACTTTTCTATGTGCAATATAAGTCTGAAACAATTGGAGGAAATAAACTCCCCATTCCCCCTATCCCTCCAGCACCCCCCCCCCTCCAGCCTGCACTCAAAGCCTAATTTAAAAAGTTAGATAATTGATGCATCTTTGTGTAAATATATAGATCTTTATACAGTCCATTCGTATATATATATTTTTGGTGATATTAATAAAGCCATATTCTAGATAATATCTCAGTCAGTATAAACAGTTTTATAGTACATAATTATTCTACCAGTAAAACAGTTATATTGTCAATATGACCTTAGATGGTTTCGATAAATTGTTTTTTATCTAACTGATGTTTATGTTTTCATCACTTGTTATTATGAATATTGTTTGTGCCAGATGATATTTTTATGACTAATGTAAACTTTAAAAAATATGAGATCATGTGACTTAATGCTCATGTAGCCTAATTTGTAATTTGTGAAACATACAATGTACAAAATTTATTTAGGTCTCAAGTGGCAACTCACAGGCTTAATGATGGGAAATTGGTAGCCTAATTAATTAAGCATGAACAGTTTTGACCCATTTAACTCACTGTTTCTTACCATCAAACCATGAGAAAAAGAAATCATCTTCAAAAAATATGACAAAACTAATTAGTTCCTGGAATGAAATTGTTCTTTCTAATTGGGATTGACAAACATAGCATTATTAAAGTTTCTCAAACTCTGGGTTTTGTTTTGTTTAATAAAATGTACATTTTTTGGCTGGCTGGAAGCTTGGGTAGCAACTATAAATTTTTAGCTCACCTTAGCATGCTCAGGGTGAGCTTTTAGGATCGATGATTGTCCGTCGTCCGTCCGTCATCCGTCGTCCGTTCACATTTAGTTGTTAACACTCTAGCGGTCACATTTTTGCCTCAATCATCATCAAACTTGGTCAGGATGCTTATCTAGTTGATAGCTCGGATGAGTTCGAACATGGGTCATCTCGGATGAGAAACTAGGTCACAAGAGCTAAAAATAGAAAAACCTTGTTAACACTCTAGAGGTCACATTTTTGCCTCAATCATCATCAAACTTGGTCAGGATGTTTGTCTAGGTGATAGCTCGGATGAGTTCGAACATGGGTCATCTCGGATGAAAAACTAGGTCATCGGAGCTAAAATAGAAAAACCTTCTTAACATTCTATCGGTCACAGTTTTGCCTCAATCATCATCAAACGTTGTCAGGATGCTTGTCTAGATGAAAGCTCGGACGAACTTCGGTCATGTCGGATGAAGAACTAGGTCAACGAAGCTAGAAACAGAAAAACCTTGTTAACACTCTAGTGGTCACATTTTTGCATCAATCATCATCAGACTTTGTCAGGATGTGTAGAGCTCAGATGAGTTTGAACATGGATCATCTCGGATGAAAACTAGGTTACCGGAGCTAAAAATAGAAAGAAAACATTGATATCACTCTAGTGGTCACATTTTTGCCTCAATCATCATCAACCTTGGTCAGGATGCTTGTCTAGGTGACAGCTTGGATGAGTTCGTACATGGGTCATCTCGGATAAAAAACTAGGTCATCGGAGCTAAAAAGAGAAAAACAGTGTTAACACTCTAGTGGTCACATTTTTGCTTCAATCATCATCAAACTTGGTCAGGATGCTTATCTAGTTGATAGCTCGGATGAGTTCGAACATGGGTCATCTCGGATGAGAAACTAGGTCACCGGAGCTAAAAATAGAAAAACCTTGTTAACACTCTAGCGGTCACATTTTTGCATCAATCATCATCAAACTTGGTAAAAATGCTTGTCTAGGTGAGAGCTCGGATGAGTTTGAACATGGGTCATCTCGGATGAAAAAGTAGGTCACCGGAGCTAAAAATAGAAAAACCTTGTTAACACTCTAGTGGTCACAATTTTGACTCAATTGTCATCAAACTTGGTCAGGAAACTTGTCTTTTAGGTCATTGCTGGGAATAAATCGAACATGGGTCATCTCGGATGAAAAACTAGGTCACAGGAGCTAAAAATAGAAAAATCTTGTTAACCCTCTTAACTGTTGTGATCCAAATTTCTGTTCATTCTAACATTCTAGTGGTCACATTTTCAACTCAATTATCATCAAACTTGGTCAGGATGCTTGTCTAGGTAATTGCTTGGAGGAGTTCGAAATCACATGTGAAACTAGGTCACCGGAGCTAAAAATAGAAAAATCTTGTTAACACTGTAGTTGCTACTGTTTTGATCCAAGTATCCTGGAAATTGGTCTGAAAGTTTGTTTTGATGATTTCTAGGTCAAGTTTGAATATGTGTCATCTGGGTAAAAAACTAGGTCGCACTGCTCAAATATGGATAATCCTTGTTAACACTGTAGTGGTCACATTTTTGACTCACCTGTCATGAGACTTGGTCATAATGCTTGTCTAGGTTATTGTTTGGATGAGTTTGATAAGTCAGGTGAGCGATCTAGGGCCATCATGGCCCTCTTGTTTGTATGTTCCATTAACTCAGGTAATATCTGTATTACTAATAATTTATTAAAATACTCCTACTGAATAGGTTGAAGGGCTTTAGTATTCTGTAATCAATATGGTTATTATTTATGTACATTTTCAATTTTATTTAGTTCATAAAGTCGCATGAAAAGTTATATATAAATGGACAAAGTCCATTATATATACATGTGTTATGACTCTGTGTCCTGATGATTTGAACTGACACTGTTATCGTTCACAGATCAGATTAATATTAATAATTAATGAGTGTGAAACTATAAATAAACACTATATCACATTGATGACAATGTTGATGACATTACTGGTGAAAATATGGATTATATTTAATTCAATTGACTGACTTATGATGTTATTACAGGCCTGGTAATAATATTATTATTATTGTTTTAAAGCCCAAGCTTGCCGGGGCAAGTACTTTTAAAATAGTCTGAGGGAATTTCTGTTGATTTTGTATCGAAAAAAAAGGTGCATAAGTGCTATTCTTGGATAAAAGTACATGTCTGATTCTGTAATTTTGCATTTTGTTATTTAACTTTCGTATAAAGAAACCTGTTCCATTGGGCCTAAACATGCGAGGGTGGTGTTATTTGACAATATTGCTATGATAATGAAATTACAAGGGCCGTCATCTCAGTCAGATTTTTTTTAAATAGCGCCCCTAGTCAGGCATTTAAAAAAGAACATGCGCCAAAAGGGCATGTATGATTCTATCTGTTCATTAATATTTTTTTCCCTGTTTATGAACACCTGCATATGCAGTTTTATGTGCAAGAATATTTTATGTCTGATTTTTTTCCATCCTGAGACCGAAACCAGTATTTGTTTGAATAAACCAGTTAACTGTTTAACGTGTGTTTTCTCTCTTCCTGTTTTATAATTAAAATTTCTGCCTGAATTTTAATTCAGAAGAAATGAATGTTTCATTTATGACAATGTCTGTAAAAAAAAATTAGCGTGTGAAAAGTCATTATTATTGATAATATGAAAAGGGTCAATATGCTGCATACTTGAAAGTTAAGTAATTTCTGTATTGAAAGTAATCAAAAGTGACATCACTAAATGTTTATCTAGCTTGTTTTCTTGTTTTTTAATGGTTATACTGTAACTGTATAAAATGATCAGTCTGAATCAATGATATCCCCATTATGCACACTCAGGGATGATGGTTATGAATTAATATTTACTAATTTGGTGTATTTCAAAATTTGACATCAGTTTAATGTCATTCTGTGGTCTGGTTTAATGTCATTCTGTTGCGCCTGGGCATAGTAGTTATTAGCATATCTTTCAAAACAAAGTTTTTGATGAAGATATTTGGATATTTAGAGTGATGTATTCATTTAAATTAAATTGTGCCAGATACCACAAGGCTATTGAGTTGGTATAAAGATTTTTTTCTCAAATTTTAATATCAAAATTCTCATTTAGTTTTGATCATGACTGGGGCACTAGAGCTTTCAAGGTAAAATAAATTCTTTGATATTTACACTTTTAGTCCCATCAAAAATATGTAAGAAACCATTTTAAATGTTATCCTACATGAATTTTTATGAATTATTTTCTTTTCCCTTTTAATCACCATAGTCATTAAAAAAATGAATCATATTTACACAGGAAAGGTTACCATCAAGATAAAAGAATCAAGAGAGAATCACATTTTATAGTTATTATGAGATTATCCAAATAATGCAAAGAAATTGCTGATTTTTCTTTTTCTGTGAGGAATATTTGAGATATCTTTATAGGATTGGGCATGTGGAAATTTTAATGGGAAACATAATGAGAAAATAATGTTATGATGATGTCATAAAAAGTTTCTGTTTGACTAGATGGGAGGATAACTTAAAATATCTGAAGTGAGTATAGCTGTGTTAATTGTTTTTCTAAAGAGATAGTTCAGCAATGGCAGTTAATCAGATATTACACTTTAATCTGGGTTATTTTGTCTGATGAACAAATTATTCGATGAACAATTATTTGTCCCATTTTAGTCATCATAGTCATTATCAGTAATGAACATTTTTATCTTGTTAAATTTTTCTAATTTGAAATTCCTTAATAGCCCGCTGGTGGCTATAGAATGTACCAATGTGACCAGTGTAGACACATCCACACTGTCTGATCATGGTCTGCACTGAGTACTTATTTTGAAACTTTCCCTAAAAATGATTAATGCTTTTGTCCAGATGGACAAATCCATATAAGAGTTTGATTCCCCGGATGATGCAGGTCACTTTTTTTGTGATTGATCATGAAATCTTTTCTACAGTCATTTGCATTGTACCTCTGCACTGGCATGTACAGAGGTAATCAGTTCCTTGCAAAAGTAAAAGCAACTAGTACTGGTAAACTGCTTGACAGACTGCCCAGGAATAAAAATGTGCGGTGGCTGAACTGAGCTCTTGTAAATTCAATGTGGCAATTTTAACACCACCACCACCAGATATTTAGCATGATAAGAGTGAAAGCCCAAGAATTTGAAGCTGTATTTATCATATTTTCTATTATCAGAGTATGAGGAATGACATAAAGGGCAACAACTCTTATCCTTTTACCAATGTATATGCTTATTTATATGTAAAGCAATATAAGGGCTCAACATAGCACTGTCACATGAATTTAAAATCTATTGTTAGGTGCTTTGTTCCTTGCACATTGAAAGTGAATCTATGTTTATTTATTAAAATTACTCTTGCTGAACTTCTACAATGATGCAAGATCAATATGAATGTATGTCTCAAATACTTGTCGTTTTATGAGAATTAAAAAATGTTTTCATTGGAATATTAGATATGTCTTACAATATACATTGTATTGATATTGTATGAATATATTTACAGGGGCATTTTTTCTCGGAAGTCTAAAGAAGGTAGTGATAGTGATGATCAGGGATGGAAACTGTTTGGTAAAATACCACCTAAACAAGCAGCGTCAAAGAATCCCGAACAAATCCAGAGCGAGTATAAGGTACATACGTCGATATCTTGATCATGATATAGTTTTGTAGATTACTTTTGTAGCTTTATGTTTAATTTCAATAAAGTTAGAATATTGATTGGTTGATATTATTTGATTGATTGATTGATCGATTAGTAGGTTCGGTAGGTCGTTTTGTTGGTCGGTCAGTCAGTCAGCCAGTCAATTTGATTTATTGATTGAGACACACCTACAGATTTACAATTTAAGGCAGTCTTCAGATGCACTTCTGTGTATTATTTTATGCACAAGCAGACACCTGAGTAAAACCATGACATTTGGTAAGCTAGCTGGATAGCTTCCTGATCAACCCAAAGTCCATAGCTTGATTTTAACTCACAGCTGTAAGATTCAAGTGGTTTGGATTCAGTGACCTTAACCTATCAGCCACAGAGTTGAAATAGTTTTGCAACATATCCCCAAAACTTTTAATCTCGTGCAAATGTAGCTCAACAATTGGAGAACGGTTGTAGTATCAGTACATCCTGAATTGGTATAAAACAATGAGATGCCTTTATAATATATGAAAACTTCCTTATTTCTATCATATAAAGTTGAGAGTAGATAGATAATGTAACTACTATCTATGAACAAAAATGTTAAAGATGTTTATTTCATATGGGAGGACTGGAGGCTTTGTTTTGGTAAATATTTTTTTTTTTACAAATTACCATAGATCAACCTATTTAAGCTGAATTATCAAAGTAAAGACTGACATTTTTGATTACAGTTCCTTATTTACAATTGAACATTGCTTAATTATAATGCTTGAAATTGTTGATTTCTTTCATTGTTTTAGTTTGCCATTGAATTTGAATGATAGAAAAAGTCATTGACTTTAAAAAAAATTGCTTTCCTCAGCTGTGGGTTAAAACCCTTAGATTTTCAATGTCATCTAGCTGCTGGAAGACGGTGGTGATTCTACCCAAGTGCCAGCATAAGGTGAACTACCAGTAATGCATGATGGGAGTCTGGTGGTTCCTGTTAAAGTACCAAGAAATCCTTGTACTCGAGCATGTGTTAACTATTATATTTGATTGTCTTTCTTTTTGCGCCGTTTTCAAAAATGTATACTATGTTACAACTTACAATAACCGAATGGATATTGATGTTTAAAGAATGTGTTATTTCTAACAATCATGGATTGATTTTATTATTTTCAGGCCAAACATCGAGAAGAGCAGCAAGTGGCGAGCAGGTCGAAGAAAGAAGATATTGAAGTCATGTCTACCACAGCCCTTATACTTGAAAACAGACCTATGTAAGTACATGTAATGTACATGATAAGTTATTTATCTTTAACCGCTTTTGTGGTTTGCATCTTGCCTTGTATAATATTTATACATGTATATATGACAGTTAGCTAATCTAGATGATGATTCTAGATTATATAATTATGCTAGACTGTTTTCTGATCATTACTTACTGGAAAAAATATAATTATATAAATTAAGTCTTTGAAATAATATTATTGTATCTTATGGTTTCATAATTACATGTACATGTATTTATTGCACAAACATTGCCCTTTATAGTCCAGTTCAGCTCCAATTGCTTTGGAAAAAATGTAATCTGATTGTAATTGATTTTAATTGTTCATTGATCTGTCCATCACAATGGTCAAATTCAGTTATAATCAATCAGATATAAGATTTGATACTTAGATAATTTGCCCATGAGCAGATTGTTTCTCAAGCACTTATTCATTGAAATGTTTCATTCCCTTTAATATACTAGTATTGGTTAGAATGTTTCTAGAAATTGTTTTAAATATTAAATGAACTGAATTTGAGGTATTTCCTGATTAAATCCATTGTCAAGTTGTTGTGTTGTTCTTCATTGCTGTATATTCGAAGATAACTAAGGACTTTGAATTCTTTCATGTGTGGAAGCTATTTCGCTCACTTGTTGTAGAATAGTAATGCTACTGAGGAAGCTTGTTGTAGAATAATGGTGCTACTTGGGTTGTTCTTTGTAGAACAGTTGTGCTACACAGGTAGCGGTGCTACTCAGGTAACTTGTTGTGAAACAGAGATGCTACTGATGTATTCTTTAGTACCTGGAATAAGGCATAAAGAGTGACCACAAAAAAGTGAAGTAAAAAACTGGAATGGCATTATATGACCTTTACAATATTGTCATGACATAAATATTTGTCATTTTTCTGAACCCAAAACAATAATATGTCATTCAGGAAGGATTATATTGAAATATAAATAATGTTCACATTTTGCTAAACATCAAAATATTCATAATAAAAAAAAAAGAATAATATAGTGTGAGTATTTGATCTGTAACCATTTCACATTTTGAAACTTGTTTAATGTCTGTCCTTTACAAAATATAGTCCAATGAAATGAAACATTTCTCATTTTAGATTAATTTTGTGAAATGCCAATCTTGTTTCAGGAAATAATACTAAAAAAAGACTACACAATCACTGTGAGTAACAGTGCATTCAGATGTTTAATTATCTAAAAATTGTTCTGAAATTTCTTGATATTTTCCTTTTATCATCAATGCTTAATCTTTAAAGGAACTCCACTGAGTTTTTTTTACATGACTGGACTGGAAATCTTTTACCGAGATTTTTGTACAAACTGATGAAGTTTTGGACCAATAAATTGTGTGCAAATGTCAGATCATTCTCTCTGCCCATTTTTCCGGAAGCAAAATGACCAAAATCCGGGTAAGAATGGCATGAAAATCAATTTGAGTATATTTCTTTGTTATCTATTGCAAAGTTTTCTATTTTAAGCCTTTCACTTGATTTTTGTAAGATGTTCAAATTTTATGTTTTTAGGTTTTAGACCTGAGGCTGTGGAGTTCCTTTAAAGGGATATTCAGGCGAAATATTGACAAAAATATTAAATGATCTTTTGTACTCAACTCGCACTAAAATGACATCTCTAATAGTTTCAGCATGAATTTCTGTTTAGATTCTATATATTTTGCTAGTGAAGCATAAATATATCTATATATGTTGAGCAAAATTTAGACGCCAATAGAATCACCGAATAGTTTTAAAACAAGTCAGGTGACGTGAACAAATCCTTGAAGTTACATTAACAGATACTGTGGATATTGTATTATTGAAACAAGTCAAAATCATTCATTTGACATGTTCTTTAACGATTCCAGAGTTCACTGTGACAATTATTGTGAAATCCTAGCGCTCTAACCTGACCCACGCGGGTCAGGTTAGGAAACCACCATTTTATTCTTTATATGGAGAAAAGTTTTGTTCCTTTGATTGTCTAATATATTCATTTTGAGGGCATTTACAGAATTAGGAATGAAAAATTCAAAACTAAGAAATGAAAATTTTGCCTGTGTCTCCCTTTAACAATACAAGATTTCCAAGGCCTTAAGAACCTCAGTGGAGTTCCTTTAATAAAACATAATTTGACATAGCGCTTTATTGATTTGGTTGTAATGTTTTTTCAGGGTTTGCAATTAAATAAATTTAAGATATAAAGTTTTGAAGAGGAGAATTTGTTACAAATATAAATTGTATTTTAAAGATGATTTATCTCCTGGAAAATGCCTTAACAATAAATTGCTTGTAATAATTATGGGGGGGGGGGGGTTGGGGGCGTACATTCAAGAAACATTTTCACTTTGGCAGTCTTAAAGTTTGTATATAATTATTCAATTACAAAGCTCATTTGCATGGTAACTAAAGCAGTTTTCATGGTGGCTTTTGGCCTGTATGTCCCTTTCTCACTTGTTTTCAAACAAGAAGTATATTTCTATCTGAAAATTCACCAGATGACATTTTTAGGATGTTTTATATTTCTTGTTGATTGTATCCTCATCAGTATTATGTTGTCCTGATAAAGATTTGTTCATCATTATTTAATTTTTGTGCGATGATGAATATTTTCACAAGTCTATGTTTCATAGTTATATTTCTGAACTGACAACTTTTATAAATTTTAGGAAATACATGTAATTAGGAAATAATTAGGAGATAATTAGAAATAATTAGGAAATAATTAGGAGATAATTAGGAAATACTTAGGAGGTAAATAGAATGTTACAACTGAATTAGGAAATACTTAGGAGGTAAATAGAATGTTACAACTGCTACATAAACAATATTATGTCCACAACATGAAATTTGAAAAGCTTCATTATAAACTGTACATGTAATAGTACTGTTTCATTTCATTATATTGAAATTAATAGGTCCTAGTACTTTAAAATTCATAAGGAATTTTCTATCAAAGTTCTTGTCACATTGAAGATCATGAAATTTATACTATACCAAGATTCAAGAGAGTGTCTATAAGCTTATAGCTTCCTACACAATCAAACTAAAATTCAATTTCTATGATACCAAAAGTAGCATCAAAAAAATCTTTTTTTCCCCTTAAAAATGAGATATGGACTACTGTATATTTTTGTTGTCATCAGCTTGTTAACATTCAATCTAATTTACATGGCAGCTAGCTATAGCCTTTTCCAGGGTGTTTGAAGAGAAATAAGCTATGAAATGATGATGACATCGTTACTTATATATGATGGATGGGCTTTACAGTATTGAGACTTCACTTTACAGGCTATCCTGTCATTTTAGATTAGCTTATAGTCTGATGTATTTGCCTGATTACACTGTAATTCTATAGGAAAGAGGGAGAATTCATATTGCAACAAGAAACTGGCTTCATTTAGGCATTGAAACTGTTCCTGAAAGAAAACTATCCCCCATTTATTTCACAAATTTAAAGTTATTATACTGACCTGAAGTTATGAAAAATTCATGATTTCATGAAGGTCATTTATGCAGGGGCTTTAAATGCAAAATACGTGACTTGTAAGAATAAAGAACAGTGTACAACAACATATTATATTTCCATGTATCACCACAATTATGCCAACTGTAGGGCTACTGATTAAAGTGTTTCTTGCTAGATGTTTTAACCAATAGGTGAAAGATGCTGTAAAAAACATACTGGAATAATAGTGGGGTTACACTGTGGTGTGTCAGTCATTTCTGAAAACTTTGCACATATCTTATATGGGTCATGATTTTAAGTCACTTTATTTTAGGACCAATAACTCTAGCTTAATTGGATTGTTAGTGAAATATACAGCTGTGACCGTTAAAATTTTATGTCATAGTTCTATTCTAGAACTACTAAAGATGGTGATCATTTGAAACTTTATATATGTCTTCAAGGTCATGATTGTTATAGTCGCTGACCAATATCTTGAAACTTTGGTCAGTACTGGTTGGTTTCATGAACAGATTCAAGATTGTGCCTATAAGCTTATAACTTTCTACACAATTGAACTAAAATAAATTCTCTATAAACTAATATATATCTTGTAACTTAAGTATGGACTTTAGCTAGGACATTTTACTGAATTATGCCATTTTATGAGCTTGCATGGCTCTTGTTTAAGCACTTAAAATATTTCAGCATGCTGTTTATGTGATAAATCTTTGTTTAAAAAGGTCATATTAAAAGGCCATATTCAGTTGTTTTGCTATTTTGAGAATAAGCTCAAAATTCTTCAAAGTGTGATATTTTTAACATCCTCTTTTGAACAAAAATTTTACATTACTTCGGTGGCACAGTCTTCCCTATGGATGTCTAATGAATCTATTGTCCACAACAAATCTATTTGCTCACTTCCAAGGCACTGATTGGATCATATATTCTATTCTGTTCAGGTCTGTATGATAATACAAATCTTACGGGCCTGGATCATCCTTTATCTGTTAATAATGTCTCAGACATCATTTCTACGTCTTGTTGGATAAAAGTGAACGCTTCATAATTTCCTTTCTGAATCAACTGATATTGATTTGCAAGATTTCCTTAGACTTCATGTTTTATTTAATTTGCATGGTAACAAGGTAGTGGACGTGTCTCTGGTTTCAATGTTTATGAAAAAACAAATCGGTAAATCTGTCACGATTTTCCTTTTTTGTTTATTATTATATCACCAGTATATTAGTGCAAATGTCTAGAAAAAAGTGATCCCTCATGAGCCTTAAAATCTGCAAAATTAAATAATATTTGTAGACTCAATTTGATTGAGTCTGTACATGAGAGGGATAATGAAAATGTGCAACATCCCTCATTGGCCCTCCAAGCACCAGCGAGTTGTACTCCATTTTCAACACTTGATAGTGCTGGAATCAATGACCCGAACTTTGAACGGACCAGAAAAATATAACACTGAAGTGAAGTCAGCAAGTATCATAAGTAAAAGTGACTGTGACTCTATGAATTCTTGAAATGATGC